CACTATGTTGCTGTAGTGACAAGCCGTGGCGATGGAGCTCATCGCTACAGTGACGTAGCATTGGCAGGCACTAACCATGAAGCCACCACTACGTCACTGTAGAAATGACCCCTGCACTGCTGGGACTGCACAAACAGCAGTGGATACCATGCAGTCAGGGGCACCTGTAGACATACGCAGTATTTCCTCTTTGTTAGCTCTTGTATCCCACAAGTGCGTCAGTTTTGATGGCTCCTGGGTCAGTGGTCTGGCTAGTGTGGATCCCATACTGAGGCATTTCACCTCCCCCACTGTGCTGTACAGGGAGTCTACACACTTACCACAGGGATCTGGACTCTACTCCAGGGGCCAGGCACCTAGGGGCTGGTCTATGGTCATGGTAGTGGGAACATGGTTGGAGCATGCCAAAATGTCAGTGGGGCTGCTCTGGACTCATTCCTCTGTCCATTCTTGAGCTATTGGTTTCTGGCAGGCCTGAGAGCAGATCCTGGGTGTGACCCTGGAGCACACTTGCTAGCAAACTTGGGATTTCAAACATCTTTGTGGTCTCAGGTGGGTGCAAGATGCTCTGGATCCACCCCTACGGCAGTGTAGACAAGTTCTAAAGGGCTGACTGAAGTCTCTCTTTGCATCTGCTCCCATCTGTAATATGGAGATAATGCCTACCTACCTCACGTGGGGGAGATTTAAGGCACGGAGATATTAAAGTAATGGAGCAAGCTAACCTTGAACTAGAATATATTAGTCCAGTATCGTGCTATGGAAAATGGTGGGGAAACCCCTAGGAAAGAGAAATTGCTGAATCCTGGTACATTTTATTTCCATCCTGAAGAATGCTCTCCCCTTACTGTGTTTCATCTTTGATTAACGAGCATGATATGCTCTGGAATGGGAGTTGGTAAGAGGCATGCAGTGTGTCATTTCAGAGGCCCATCCATCTGGCTTTCAACCTCAAAGAATTTGTCCTTTTTTATTTCTCTTGGGCACAGTGATGTCAGATTTATGACCTAACTAGGGA